TCTGCTGAAAGCTTTTCTGAAGCTACCTTCCCGCAGCTACCCGTGCTGTCGACTTTCTGCCACCCTCTTTAAGCCCCGGCCTCGTGATCTTTCCCTGCTCTCCTCTGCCCGTGATCGACTGCCTCTCTCGATAAAAAAAACACAGATGCCACACATCGTTCTGCACAGCATCTTGAGATGCAGTCGCGTTTATTGTACGAATTGACTTCGTTATTGTATTCCGCTGCCGAGCAGCGTTTCTTACACCTGTACACATGCTGCATGTAAACGTACGAGCACGTATTGTGTTGTTGAACGGAGCGAGCCTCGGGGTCTGTATATTGTCTGGCGCTGTAGCCACTCTGCCGGCTACATGTGGAAAACAAGAGGCTCCGAGGGCATTTCACAAAATTCAATTTCAAACGGGAACATCTGTTCGAGAGCCATTTCAATTACCGTTATGAGGTGGCTGGGTGATTCAGAGGCTAGAGCAATGAGCTCGCAGCGTTGTGTACCTGGGTTCACATTTAGGCAGTGGCTTGTGATTAAACTTGATTTTCAAGTGGAGTTCGTATGATGTTCTCAAGGCGCGTATCAATAATTGCTCTGAGAATTAAATATGGGCTTGACCGTCATGCGAAGGGCATTATTGTAATAAGCAGCGCAGGTGGGAAGATACTGCCCTCTACTGTGTGTGGATCAGAATTCGCTTTGAGTGACCTTAGAGGTAGCTCTGTCACATCTGCTTGCGTGGGCCATTCGCCAACACAGGGGGTTTGCCCTGCTCTACAAGAGTTTCACATCTCTATTTTGTCTCACGCCGTGACACCTCTTGCACAATTTGGATGCCACTGAAGTGAACATGTACCAATACGAGCTCGCGATCCACTGCTGGATGAGGCTCGCAGTGTTTATTTGACCAGTGTGTGCGACGCTGTTGAGTTAAGGGCGAGGAACGAGGCACGGGAGCGTAGAAGTACGGTACAACGGTGATTTTTTTTTTCTTCCCGACTGCCCTTTGCTGGCCACCACGAAACAGAGCCCCACAGCCGCCCATAACAACCATCCGTGCACTTGGCGGACACCCAACTAAGGCAGAGCGTTAGGGGCCGTCCATAAATGGACGTCACGCGATTTTGGACGATTTTGACCCCCCCCCCCCCGCTTCGTCACACGGCGTCAGAAAAAGTCAGACCCCCCATCAAATATGACGTCACAACGCTCTGCCCCCCCCCCCCCAAAAAAACATGCTTCAAATCGCTTTAAACTATTGTCATTGTAGTGCGTATTTAATGTGGCGCTGCACTCTGATGTAAGATTTTTTTTGTTATTAAAAAGTCTATTTAATTAAGTAGAACGTGTCTATATGTATTAAAAGTTGCGCATTTTTACGTGATGTCACATTCCCAACCCCCCCCCCCCTCGTCACACATCGTCACAAATGTCTGACCCCACCCCCCCCCCCCCCTAGGTGCACGACGTCATTTATGGACGGCCCCTTATCCGGGCTCAACCCTGCCTTAGCTACCTAGATCTACACGTGTGACTCGGCTCCAACACGCGCTTTTGCTATTTACGCAATCTAAAAATAACGCGCGATCAGTCAACTTTTGAAAAATTAGGTTGTTATCGACCTGCAAGTGTGTGGGGGGGGGGGAGGCGATGACCGTATTGAGCACGCGGATCAATGGTCAAGGTGAAGGAAGGTGGGGGGCAGGCGGGGGTGGGGACAATACCGATTCAGATTCTAAATTTGAAGCTTTCGTGACTGCAAGGATTCATACTCTTAGTTCATACTCTTTGTTCTTTCGGTGAAATTAAAATTAATTTTAATTTCATTTTTTACCTACGTGACTTTACGGAAAGAATTAAGAGTACCGATTCGGATGTCACTCGCCACCGATGTGAGGCGTGGCCAAGAATCCAACTCACGTGGTCAAGTACGTAGAGCACGATGCTGCGTGGAAACGTCATGAGGATGCTGATGACCGTCTATGTGTGTCTACGTGTGTCTACGTGTGTCTGTGTGTGTGTGTGTACGTGTGTGTGTACGTGAACCCGGCGACACGGGTTCGATTCCCGCTCATGGCCAACACCAGTGACGATTATCTAAACCGGTCCCGGACCTCCCCTAGGTCGACTCAGCCTCAAATGAGTACCTGGTGCGGTGTGTAAACATCGCCACTGGGGAGACAAAGGCGGTCCGGCGTGGTGCTGGCCACCCACCTCGTCGTGTATCGTTCCGGCCTTCATAGATGCTCGCTAACAGCACTTGCCCCTACAGTCTGTTAAGGCTATACGGGGGGTCTTTGTCTTTATGTACGCTGAACGTAGCCAACCGCGCTAATTGGAGGCTGCAGTGGAAGGACAACAACGCGAAACACGCAAAAAGCAGTTCTCAAGAATTGAGTTTTGAATTTAGATTTAAAAGTGCCATAGCTCCATTGACTTCCTAATATCGGAAGGAAAAGGGTCGAGCTAATGCACGGGCGTGTCCCAGAGCTTGTACAGCGTGGGGAAGATGGATTTACACTCTCCCTAAACTCTCTCTATATATACATACAACTCGTATTGGTTTTTTTTCTGTGAGCATTATTCAACAATGCGTGTAACTAATGAGTATTTCAAACCACCGAATCGCATGGGGAGCCATGCGGAGCCTGTAGGATCGACGCAAATGACGAATTGGCCGTGGCTCGCCACTCCAAATATGTTGACTCGAATGCAGCCTGCGTCGTCTGTGAAGCCGGGCACAGTCCGTGTATTCAAATGTGGCACAGCAAGAACCAAGGCACCTCCGATGAGCAACGGTTGGCTACGTACGGCGCAGCATATGACCCTCCTGAAAAGGGGCATTGAGACTCATTGGATCCTCTCGAGGGTAAACTGCGTCATATGTAATAACCGACATCGCTACGCAGTACGTGTGTGTAAGCGCGTATCGTGCAATTGCTCAATATGCCAAAAATAACTTCTCAAGGCAAGGGGGATCATTCCTGCAAAGCAGGAATATCGAGGTTCAGTGAAGCCACACATTGCGTGTTCCTCCATCTGAGCCGACCCGTTTGTATATTGTACGTGACGATCCATTTATAGATATCCCTGTTCCATTTATAGATGCCCCTGTGCTCTTAATTTATTCTCAACGGCTGATTGAATATTGTGAAGGCGGTGGCTACTTATCTCACACGGGAGAGTTGTTAAAATATTTAATGAACGTACTGTTGAGATTGGCCAGAGACACGTTGAGGCTTTGAAATACACAGTTGTATCTACAGGTATCTATGTATCTATAAATAAATCATCGTCTGCTCAATGCCAGCCTTCAAATGCAAGTCATTATCAGTTGTGCAATCGATATAGAGGAAACCCACATTGTGTGCGTTTTACATTACGAGGTCGCACTTATTGCACGCAAAGTGCTTGCCACGAATGAACCATGCTGCCTTTCTGATCTCGCCAGGGAGCATAAGGCATCAGAGGAACTCCGGTCATCCTCGCAGCGGATTTTGGCTGACCATCGAACAAAGACGGCCACTGCATCGCGTGTTTTTCTTTCACGCGCTTCTGCGACCGTCTGGAACGCTCTTCCTTCCGATATTAGGAAGACACTGAACGCCATGTACTTTTAAAGCACCCATGAAGAACTAATTCCTTTAGAACTGCTTTTTGTATTGGTTACGTACGGTGCGAAAGAAGTTGAAGATGCATAATACATACGGTATGTGATGCGATGACAGTTTATTTTTAAATCCACATGTAGACAGGCGATGGTGGCTGAGTGGGGTAGATTCTGTTGTTGTTTGGGCTAGAGAGGGCTCAACCAGAACTCGCTGTGCACCCCTGGCGGTTATTCCACTGTTGCGCGATTCGATCAGCTATTGATGTTTTACATTGTGGCGAATTTCACCATCACTATCATCATCACCACTGCACATTTCGTCGTCTACAGTTTCTCTGTAACTTGTAGTGCCAATATGCTCAAGTAGTGGCCACATCGTTCTCTGTGAGGTCTTCCTCTCTTTCCAGTTCCTTCCATATTTGCGAACAACACGCGTTTAATTGCCAGCTGTTGTCCATCCTACATATGCGTGGCGAATGTAGCCGCCTCTAACGGCGGACAGGGGTCCACATGTACCCATTATACAGAGCAAATATCAAGAGAAAAATAAAGTCCATTATTTTCTTTGCCGGCCACGGCTACCATCAGTGGCCCAGTGATACGTGAACAGGTCCGAGGCGTCCCCTCCAACCAACAACCCACAGCGCCCAGCGTGGTGAAGTATGGTCGAAACAACCCCACCAACTACCGACCCGGCGTGTAGGGGAATAAACATCCATCCAGCTGTGGACATGTTGACACAAGTTGTCGATTTCCATCCTAAAACAAGTCTACATAAACAAAAACACAATCCTTGCAACGATCAGCTTACACACCTTCACACCAGCAAACACAACAGCGCATATTCGCTCGCTTCTATATTTATCGTAAACCCGCGTGGCAACGATACGTCACTGTGTAATAATGACTTAAATTATTGCGTTTTCTGCGCCGTGCGCCGTTGCCGATGTTCATTGCGAAATTGCCCCATAGGCACACAGGTGACGATGCTATTTTAATGACAGGCACACGTGCGTGCGTGTGTGGGGGTGAACTCGGCGGAGAAGTGCCAAGTTGTCTTAGAAACACGACTCACACGGACAACATACAGACAGACACAGCGAAAGCACTGACGGAGGTTACTTATGACGCCCGGGGGCAATGAACAACATCTCAAAATCCAGTTGTTCTTCTTTACTTTGGGCGGCGGCTTCTTTCCAACTTCTCTTCCCCCCCCCCCGTCTTCCTCTCTCGCCGTACCCTACTCCCTCCTTTGGTCCTGCCTTGCTCTCGAGTATCCGCGTCACATTGAGCAAAGCGTGGGTGTGTGGGTGTGTTAATGGGAGGAGTAGGTGGCTGGGAGGGGGGGGGGGCCTTAGGGTGTATAGGCAGTGAGCTGCACAACGACGGACACTTTTATTTGACAAGCACGTTACTTTTGTTGGTCGTTCTAACTCGCACTGACGACGCCGGGCAACGTGGGGGGAGGCACATCGAGTCCTGGACGCTGGAACTTCTTCCACGGGTTTCTAAATTGCACGCGCGAGAAACACAAACACAACGCGCGCTCAGAAGACACTTGAAACAAACACACATCGCACGCTCAGAGACACGCGCCTTTTCTCGGCGCGGCGCTTGTGATAGACGGACAGACCGACAAGACAGAGCGAGCCACAAGAAGAATGCCCGCACAGCGCAACAACAATGCACACGCCCGGCACGGCTGAGCGGCGCACGCAGCAGCGGTGCCTCCTCCATGGCCCTGTCCGCGGAGATGAACGGCATCACCGCCACAAGCACCACCACCACCACCACCAGCACCGCACCACCACCACCATCACCACGGCGGCGACATCGAACGCGAGCTCGTGCGACGCGGTCCCAGATGCGGCAGCCGCTCTCCCCGCCGCCCTCATGTTCGCCGTCGGCGTGCTGGGAAACGCGCTGGCGGTCACCATCCTGGCGTGCTCGCGCCGCGACAGCAAGCAGACCGTCTTCTTCGCGCTCGTGTGCGCGCTCACGGTCACGGACCTGCTGAGCACCTGCCTCTCCAGCCCGCTCGTGTTGGCCGCGTACGGCGCGCAGAAGACCATCGAGCAGCTGGGCGGCAACCCGCTCTGCGTCTACTTCACCTTCTGCATGCTCTTCTTCGGCTTCGCCACCATGGGCATCCTGTGCACCATGGCCGTGGAGCGCTGGCTGTCCATCGCGCACCCGTACGTGTACCAGAGGCGCGTGAGTCAGACGTGGGCGCGAGTCGCCCTCGCGATTGTGCTCGTGGTGAGCGCGGCGCTGCTCCGCGCTGCCGCTGGCCGCCGGGGTGGTGCGCGCGCGCATGTACCGGCCGTGCACCTGGTGCTACGTGGACGCGAGGCTCGAGCGCGCCTACGGCTTCGTCTACGCCGCGGCCACGTCGCTGCTCATCGGCGCCGTGGTGGCGTGCAACGTGGGCGCCGGGGTCGCGCTCTTTCGCATGAGGAGGAGGCTAACGCTGCGGGACGCGGTGCCCAACTCCCGGCGCGTCTCGGCGAGAGTTTCGGCGCCGCTTGCCGCTCTTCCACCGCCGCTTGCTCCTCCTCCTCTGCCGTCGTCGTCGTCGTCCCAGCCGGGTCGAGACAGTCCCCTCGCTTCGCTCCGCAGGAAGATCTCCGTGCAGAGGTTGCAGCGCATCCATAGGCCGCGTGGAGTGGAGGTGGACAACCTGGTGCTGCTGGTGTTCATGACCATCATCTTTCTCGTGTGCTCGCTGCCTCTAACCGTACGTATACGAATGGCACTGGAGATGACCGATCTTTGTTGAGCTAAGAACAACAACAAAAACATTATTGGTCCCTAACGCATTCCTGTTTTGCAGGATTGGTCCCTAACGCATTGAGAAGTTTTTGTTTGGCATGTTGGACTAATTGCACGACAAGTGTTTACACATACGTACTGCGTAGCGATATTGGTTATTTGAAATAACAATTCAGTTTACCATTCAGAGTATCCAATGAGTCTCAAGGCCCATTTTCAGGAGGGTCCTATGTTTGTGTGCTGAACTTCTTTCGTACCGCACGTAGCCAACTGCTCATCCGATGTGCGGGGGAAGGACAACAGACTAAACACAAAATCTGTTTAAATAAGTAAGTTTTCAATCGAGATTATAAAGTGCATTGCTCCAGTGGCTTCCTAATATCGGAAGGAATCTTTGGCCAATTTTGGATGTTGGGGACAATTTCACGGAGAGTGTTAAATATACTTTGTAACAACTTTGTTTTCGAGTAAGCAACGCACTTTGTTTCGAGTAAGCAACGCACTTTGTTTACCAGTGAAAGTGTTCATGAGTCCTGCATTGGGGACGTTGGGCGTATTTGAGAAGTTAGGACAATGTCATCGGATCGTGGATAACGCATTCACAACTCCATCACTACATGCACGATACAGGGCTACATGAAAGCTCGTCTCAAGTAGGATGTGCAATAGGCGACGTAGTGGGCAATGGCCCTTTAAATGTGCATGAAGAAGGGGCATTACCCGAAACATCGTTTATCATATTTTTTTCTTTATAGGCCGATGTTATTGACACATTTTGGGAGTTCTTTTTAAATGAATAATTGTGCTTTTAGCCCCACTGCCAACGCAGCGTCACCAAATTATTTCTCCAAAAGTAGGGACCATTAATGTTTCAACTTTCTGACCGCATTTCGCTTGGGGCCTTTTGCGGTGTGAATTTCGCGTTTTTCACAACGGGAACCAATCAATCTTTTACATCTAACGAAGTTCCAGTTGCTCGAAAAGTTCAACTCACCGTGCATTCGTTGAACGTGGTCGGGGGAGGTTTTTTTCTTTCCTTTCTTTCTCTCGAGGACAAAGCGATGCTGCTACCCGGGGCACGCCGAGGTGGAGTGAGGGGCGCAGTTGGCTTGGCTCTCCAACACACCGGTGGTGCTGGAGAGCCACTGCGCCGCTGTGATAGTGACGAATTGGCACGTTCTGTTTACGTGACAACCCTTACTAGATTTGAAGCTTTCGTGACTGCAAGGATTCCTACTCTTAGTTTTTTAGGTAAAGTCACGTAGGTAAAAAAAATAAATTGGCTGTGACGGTCCCACCTGATGACGGAGACTTGTGTTGCCTCCGAAACGTCGTGATTTTTTTTCATTAATTTTAATTTCATTTTTTACCTACGTGACTTTACCGAAAAAACTAAGAGTATGAACCCTTACTAGTTGGCTGTGTCGGATGGTGGCGGGTTTTAACGACATATGTATATATTTACGTCATCTAACCCAAAAAACAAACATCTATTGGGGCGCAGTGGTTAGCTAATTGGCGCTAATACGCGGGTCAATTGGAGCCACTCGTTCAGCAAGCAGCACCGACCAGCGTTGTAAAGTATGGGCAAATAAGCCCGATGACTGACACACGTATCGTTTCCTTGGGACCATACATAATCCCATCACGTAAAGTCATCTCAATATACAGTAACTCAAATAGTGGTATTGTGCACATGCCTATCTTGCAAATATTGGCATCAGTTCAACTACGCAAAGAGTGGGCATTTGCGACAAAGAGCACAGTTCTGCATTTCACGATGCTGGAATGGTCATCACGCTGGATTTGAAATCCACAGGCAATCGGTTCGATTGCCCGGCATGGCAAGATGAAACAATGCACACACCCCTCCCCCCATCCACCCAGTAGTATAAATGTATCGGCAAATCACGTGTGGTGGGGTAAAATGTGGGTACACCTACCTCTTACAAGATATTTAGCCAGCGTGGCAACATTGGCGCAAATATTATGAATAAAATATCATCTCGAAGGTCTCTCTACAACTCCTTAGAGGACATCCTTCCAGTGGCGTGATCACCGTAATTTGAGCGTTGCAACTTTACCTATTATATCCCAGAGGAGTGGTGGTGCAGTGGTTATCGAACTGGCCTAATGGCCTAGCCAAGTAAGTACGATGCCCGACTGAGTGGAGGATGATTTCTGAGCTGGTCCTGAGCTCCGCTCCATTCTCCTTCACCAACTCCGCCCTGACCAGTGCGGTGAAGTATAGTCAAGCAACCTCCCGTGAGACAACAGTAGTGGATCGACAAAAGGCTGAAAATATACTATTACTATTACATTGCACAGTCTGGGTTAGAGTCCAGAAAAATTATGGTCACATCGGAAGAGAAAAAAAACGTGCCTAGCTATTTGAACTTGTTGATTGCAAGGTTTAAAAAAAAAGAAAAACACGCGTTTTACTATTTTTAGATCTACAACATTTTTGCGTAGTTCATAATAATAAGCTACATGTACGATAGTTTTCGATTATATAACAACGCACAGATAGCAATAGATACATGCAATGAAACGATTCACTTAATGAAGTCTTAGTATTATTGTTTAATAATAATAGCGAGCTGGATGACTGAAATGTGAGTACTTAGGTGTCAGGGTATTAAAGCCATCACGTGAATATCAATTGGGTTTAGGCAATTACAATCTAATTCCATAACCTGTTGACCAACCATTATGATATACAACGATGATTGCCACCGATGTAAACGCATTCTAATGTTTTAGTAGGGCTCGAAAGCTCAAAGGTGGCATACAGTGACGCGCATGCTTATTTAATATGAATAATTTACATCCTTTAATACATCCACTACTGGATGAAGACCTCCGCATGGCACAGCGTTTTCTGACCTATACTTCACCACGCTGGTCAGTGGGTGCGGGCGTGGGAGACTGCACATGGTTCGGACATCCTCCTCCTTCGTCTGTGATAATCACGGTGGCCTGGAATCAAACTCGGGTGGCTGGTCTCACAGTGCTGTGCAATGGACCACTACTGATTCCTTCCTGGAAAAAAACACGAGTTTCTGAACATGCATGCCCGAAAAATAATCACGTGGAGGTGTACCGATTTCACTCATAGTCCAGGGGCAGCCCGATGTCATCAACTATCTGAAGTCTTAACACACAATCCAAATATTTGGTTGATCCGAGCAAATCTAACCTAGCAATTCTCATTCCGTGGCGAGTGGTCGTAAAGCAAATTCTGTTTAAAGCGCGTTGACGCAATTGCACACTGTTTACAGTTCCCGCTCTCGTCGTGTGTCTGCACGGCATTTGTCAATTGTCAGCGACATTTATGTATGCCACTGCACGGTACAGACTGCAGGCATGCGGCGTCGAACTTTCCGCCGGCTTTCTGGCAAGTGCATACTTGAGTTTATCAGCACCTGCGGCTGTGCCTCCTTTTAGTTTTGGCCGCAAACACGAGCGTAGCCCTGGCTACCGCTCCTCTGCCCTTATGTCTGGGACACATTTCAGATTTCGAGACGTCAACGACTGCGGTGGCCGAATTCCAGCGAACTCCTACCGAACCGCCCTGTGGCTTTTTGCCGCCTGTTGCTGGAGTCTAACCGCGGGTCTTATGTACCGACCGGCCAAAGAATGAGGTTTTGGAACTGGAGGAATGATGTTTAGAAGATGGAGGAATGGGATAAGGAGTTGGAGGAAAATTATTAAATGAACACTTTGCAGATTCGGAAGAGTTGGGTGTTTCGTGCAGTCAGCTTGTGTTCAAATAGATTCATTTCTTGGAAATGTTAACTGAGAATGTTTTTGATAATTGCTCTGTGCAATTAATTGCGTACTACTGTATGTGATATCTGTTATACATGTTATTTGCTTCTGTTGTGTTTGGTTTTCTATTATCGGAATTTGTTTATGACGCGTTAAACTTATTTTGCCCATTGTGTTATTTTTTTCCTCTTGTATTTAAACTTTTTAAACGGGGCCTCCCTCCATTGTGCAATGCAGACGGCCGTTAGACCCCCCCCCCCCCCCGTACCAGCTGTGCGTGTAAATATCATTACAGATTTTACTTTTTGACCATCACAAACTCTATGTAAGTTTGCCTTAGAAGATATGAAAACTGGGGCTTTTCCAAAAAGATACGGGACGGATAATGCTTTTGGTGTGTCTTTCGTGTCATTTATTTACCCAGCAGAGTATTGCAGACGTCTTCTTGGTTCTTTCGGTAAATTCACGTAGAAGGAAAATAATACAATTTTAACATAATCAAATAATTCTCACGACGTTTCGGCCACAACGCAAGCAGCCGAAACGTCGTGAGAATTATTTTATTATGTTTTATTTTTATTCTTTTATTATTTCCCTTCTACGTGACTTTACCGAAAGAACCAAGAAGATGAATCCCTGCAGTCACGAAAGCTTTAAATCGAAATTTATTGCAGACGTCTCTGGATAAAGCTATCATATTCATTGCACTGGCTATAATCATCACTTGATCTCGGACTTGGACTACATCACGCCCGGAAGGGTGATGCCGGCAATTATACCCCATTAGCGGCCATGCATGATCAACATCAAGATTGTTATTATTATCAGCCATTATAATGACAGCCTTTTGTTCAGATACCGGCACTCGTTGGCTAAAGTATAATAGGAAAAAAGTGTTGCGTAGCTTTTGTTTTCTCCAAAATAAACCAAACTTTTATACGAGTTTGTCGCGACTCACGTCGAGTTCAATTGATTTGTTTGTTCTTTGAATTCAATAGATTTCCACCTTGGCCAACACGAGCTCCATTACCGTTGACCGGTACACTTTGTTAAGAGCTACCGGTAACTTTTGTCTCTAAAGGCAATTGAGTTCGATTCACAACCGTGGCTAACATTAGTGGCGTCGCCATCTGCTCTCCCCTTCACCAACTTGCACTGTGCAGTCGTTGACGTCGTGGTGTCGCGATGTTTTCCCGCGGTGGTGTGGATTTTTCTCGGGGTCCTCAGGTGTTTCCCTCCGCTACTTAGATGACGTGGCTGCTCTAGAGTTCCACACGATGAGCCGACTTCGTTGAGCTATCATTTGTGGCCAGGTCGCTTCTGCAAAAAGAGCTAGATAGATCAGTGGGCATTAGCTGGTAAATTAGAAAAAATATAAAAAATAGTTTAGTATATTTCGATTTAAAGCTTTCGTGACTGCAGGGATTCATCTTCTTGGTTCTTTCGGTAAAGACACGTAGAATGGAAATAATAAAATAATAAAAATAAAACATAAAATAATAATAATGTTTTATTATTTCCATTCTACGTGACTTTACCGAAAAAACCAAGAAGACAGTTTAGTATCGTTTTTGTTTAGTAAGTATGGTTGAACAACCTCCATGACCAAACGAGCGTAGGAAAGTTTTGATTCCGCAGGGATTGACGCTATTATTATGTTTTAACTTAGGACCTTAACACGAGCTTTGAGACTATGAGGCTGTTGTGGTTGGCGTGGCTCTAACGATATTTGTTCTCATGGATTCCCACTCTCAGGTAGGATGAATAATGCTTAACATATGGTCACAGCTTATGAGTCTCCCTCTAACACGTGTTTATAACCGTGTCTTTGTATGTTTGTTTTACTTCTACAACAATTTGGCAGATAAATTCACACCATTTTTATGTCCAGCCACAGGACCTATTTTCGCGTGCGTTGGCATGAGTGTAATGGGATTTAATAGGCCATTTAATTGTGCATATCTCATCATTTGTTTGATGGGTTCTACGGATTTGCTGGCCGTTTGTGTGAAATGTGTTTTCGCTTATTTAAAAAAAAGTACACATATTTAGATTTCACAGTTCCCAAAGCAATGTATTTAATGAAATGCAGATCTCGTTTTATTTTATTCGTGTTTTCGTGATAATCTAGGATTTAACGACCGTAGCATAAACTCATAGAACCTAACCATTACACGTTATATGCAAAACAATTATAGTGAGATGTGAGAGAATCCAAAATGCAGTGGATGAATAAAACACTAATAAATGCACAGTGCCTTTTGTCAATGGATGAAGGCCCTCCTACACTCTGTTTATCATCAGGGTTTTTGGGTCATACTTGCCACGTTGGTCAAATAAGGTTTGTGAAGGGACTGGCCAGAACAAATTCAGATACTTACTCAGGAAGCCAGCAGCTACACCCTCATTCGTATAAATATGAAGCTACTTAGGTGGGACAGCGCCTGCATGGTACCTCTACGCTCCCACGTCTATGCTCCCCGCCTTCAGCAGCCAGCATCAACCAGCGTGTGAAGTTCGGCCAAAGAACCCCCACGACTCACGCGGCCGTGGGGAGGCCATCACACAGCAGTGGAACAACAAAGGGCTACACACACGTGCAGAGTAATGTCAAGCAATGCGGTATTTCTGGCTTACTAAGAAGGCCTTGCGGCAGGGTTGTTCTCAAACGTTACCAGAAGCGACCATGTCACAAGCAGCAGCAGGCATTCGTGAACCCCATCGAGATGCTGTTCTCTCTCTTCCCCCCCTCCTCCCTTGCCTCCTCCGCATGAAGGTCTCTACTCTAATCAATGCCATCTGGCCCACGAACACTGAATTCAAGCGCGACCTTGCCGGTCTACGCTTCGCCTCCTTCAACCCCATCCTCGACCCGTGGATCTTCATCATCGTGCGTCGCTCCGTGCTCGAGCGACTCCTCTCGGTGCCCGCGCGTCTCCGCGCCGCGCTTCTCCCCCACCGTGCCGGCGGCGACTCGCGCGGCTCCGGTTTGCTGCGCCACCTGGGCAAGGGCAAGGGCGGCGGTGGTGGCGGTGGATCTTCCGAGTCCGCCTCGCTCTCCTCCTTCCAGCTCGCGCAGCTCATCCGCTCTGCCGACGCGTCGCCCATGATGGTGGGACGGCTGGCCGAGATGCTCGGCCGTGGCGGCGAGCCCGGTGCTCCGGACTCCGTGCGCAGTTCCCTGGACCTGGAGTTGCCGGACGGGAAGTTCAGCGAACTGTTGTCGTTGTCTCGGAGTCGACGAGAGGCAGAGACGTGACGGGTAACGACGGCAAAAGATTTACAACAACAACAAGTGTAATCACTTGCTCCCGCCACTGTCGGAGGAAGTGTCTCCACTGGAGGGAGCTGAAGAGAGCCCCTGTGGAGGGTATTTGGGCCTTTGCAAGACGTGAGATCACTCGCACTATATTCCACCAAACGCGGCGTTGCTGTTCGACTGTGGTGAACTCGTTTAGACGGACAGAGGTGGAGCCACAGATCGAACTCGACTGGTGACCTCTGAAATACAGGCCCAAGTAATGCCAGTGCTTGAAGTCTCACTGAAGACAGGAGTAGGCCTCTCCCTGGCAGCCTCGGCCACAGTGAGAGATACTCTGGTGACTGGTGTGGCGTCGCTGACCCGGACAGATCCAGCTGAAATTAGGCCCTGGGTAATGCTACCTGATACAGTGCACTGCCCTTATTTATAGATATATTTCACCGTGTGAACCTTTTGCAATCAAGAGAATGTATTCGGCACGAGCAGGACGTGTTTTAATCTGTTTGGAGTGGTGAACACTGAAATATGTAAATATGTAAACTGATTTGAACTAAGAACACATTTACCAAAAAAAATGCACTTTAATGCTTGCATGCACGTACCTACACACGTACCTACACACGTACCTACACACGTACCTACACACGCACCTACACACGCACGTACACACGCACGTACATGTAGGGCTATGAGTGTCCTTCGCAGCGAGCGTGATTATTCCACGGACTTTGCGTCAGGACACTCCCCACACCATTAGCGCCATTACCACTGTCACGGACATTGTCACCACTTGACGGCGTTGTCATCAATCATCGTTCGAGCTGGCTCGTAGAAAATGAACGTGAATATGGAGCCTGCAGTTAGTCTCGCGACTTAGCGAGCGGAGTTTGTTGCGTGCACATCAATGAACGCGCAGTGACAGACGATGCCATCAGTGCCCGCAGATGTTTGGCGCGTGTGCATCGACACGCGTTATTGCGCTCACATTGGCGCCCGTGTTCTGCGCTAAATCGCGCACACGATATGAATTGCTCGACGCCCATATGGATTCGGAGACAATGCCGGCAATATTGATGTGTTCTTGGCTCCAGAGTGACTGCTGTTCGGCTGGCTTGTGTACACATGTGGCGATAAGGGTTTCCATAGCGCATCGCTATCCGTCCACGTCTGGTGCCAAAGCAACTGCAGACACTCCAACGAGAGACAGGCGTTGCGTTTGTGGCATGCGTGTGCCTTTCCAGGAGACCAGACGCTGTCATGTCACCGACGCTGTGGTATACTGCTCCACGTGTGTGGCCAATACTGTAGTTTACACTTTGAAGCCACCACTAATCCCTAAGGTGTTCCCGAGCCTGTTATGATTAACGTGCAGCCACTTTTATTGAGTTACTTTATTTTATTTTCTCCAAAAGGAAGACTAACAAAGTTTTGATTTTGTGTCATTACAAGTTATGCCCCCGCCCCCTCGCCCTTAAGCCTGCACACACAGATCAGTAGTCACGGTGTTCCGAGCTGGGATGCCGCTTGCGTGATCTTGCCGGACCGGATTTGTCGTTAGGCGATGTGGCACTTGGCTGGCCACGGCCGGGCTGTTGGGGTAAAGCGAGTGGCCGATCACTTTTCGAGCGAAATTCAGAACGCCCCTGCCGCAACCCCCATTCCTCTTGCAGCAGCGGAGGTCTGCAGAATGTTTACACGTTTCGTGCGGCGGTCGGGCCAGGGGGCTGTGTTCTCTCGGTGGTCTATTGAAGAAGAGATACCCGGGGATGGTCAAACATTTCACTTGCAGCGGCCAGTTGCCTCAAAAGCAACAGTTATTTGAGGAAAGCGACGGTTTGTCACCCATGGGGCTGCAGGCGGGTGTGAATGGTCTGTCGCGTGTTCAAATGCATCCAATTTATTCTTACTGCCGCATGCAGCAGCGGTATCCATTTCCTGGCAAGTAAATTGTTTTGCTCATTTTCAAAAGACAGACCTACACACTGTGACCCTGATAAACTCGAATGTATGTAATTGCGCATCCGCGGAGGCGGCCTGTACAATTACAAGTTCGAAACTTCCACAGTGAATCGTTCCTCCGAGGGCTACCCACAGTCTGCGTAAATGGCTCAACCTTCTGCGACGTCACCAGAATAAATGCCTTGAGGACATTGGCGACAACGCAAAATGCATGCGAGTGAATTGATTGGCGTGGTTGCACCGCGCCCTCTATTGTGCTTGTCAAGATAACGTGCCAAATGCGATGACTTACAGAAACTGATAAAAGTGTTGTCAGTAGTTCTGGCGTGCAGCCGTGGCCAACACCGCAGATTTCTTCACGGAGTTGATACGCTATTCAAATGCCACCAGATAAGGTGAACATTTCTCTCTACGTGGAGTGACACATTAATATTCTAATTTGCTTCCCCATACATAACCAATGAAGGAAATATGATTTCCCCACATCAATTGATATTCTGTACTAGCTTCATTATCACCATCATCAGGGGTGCCAGGGTGGCAAGATGGGAACTACCTCGCCTGGTACGCAGGAGGATCGTGGGTTCGATCCCGACCCTGACGCCTGCTGCTCTATATTTGGAATTTGGATGTCTCTCTCTCTCTCCCCGTGGTCGCGTGGATTTTTCTCTGGATCCGTCGGTTTTCCCCTCCACATTTAGAAACGTGCGTTTTAGAGATTTTGGCTGCTATAAATTGCCCCGTGATAAGCCACTTCGTTGAGCTATCATTTGTGGCCAGGCCGCTTCTAGAAAAAGAGCTACATAGTTCAGTGGGCCTCACCTGGTAAAATAAAAAAAGAGATTAAGTTTAGTTTATCATCATCAACATCATCAGCCATTGTCTATCCACTGCTGGATGATGACCTCACGCCGTCCCCATCCCTGTCAATCCTACGATGTCAAAATCAATGTCACTCCCGAAAATGTATCTTATTGCATCCACTCCGTGGCGGTCGTCTGCTCGGTGTGTGTGCGCTTTAACTTGAATCGCCACCATCGTCCACGGCACATTGTCCCCTCGGGCGATGCACCCTGCGAAAGCCCGATTACTTTCCTCAACCGTTCACGCGATTCTTCAATTGGGATAATATTCATTGCACGCGTCTACCCCTTGGATAAAACATGCGAATGTTCACCACACGTGATCCTCGGAGCCCAGGGTTGCCCATCCATGAAATAAGATGTTGTGTGAGTTGCAGGGTAATGAGTAAGCAATGGCACCATCTCTTAAAACGAGCGATGTCTACTGCAGTGAGAGCTGTAGTAAGAATTACATCTAGAAAGGTGAAATAGGAAATAATAATTTGTGGCCCTTTGTCAATTCCCTGCCGGATGAGCACTTTGCACACGCCGCGGTGGCCACGGGGGTTATTTGACCATACTTCACTATGCTGGTCAATGCGAGCAGGTGAATGGGGTGGCTCAGGACTGGTTCAGATGTCAATTCGCCACTGATGTTAGCCGTGGTCGGTAATCGAACTTAGTTTGCTGGACTCATAGCACAGTGCGCTAACCAGTGCTAAACTGATTCACCGGTTTTATACTTGCTCAACCGTCCACTCCCGATGGTTGGGCAAGTATAAGATCGGTGAACTTCATCAATATTTAGCACACTGCAGCACTTCTGAAATGTGTCGCTGGAGAATGTAGTATTTCGTGACTGTGACCATGGTGATGATGATGATATGAGCCGTGACAATTGTACAACGTGTTATTATATTAGTCAGACGCTGGGGTCGAATATCCACTGAGCAGTGTGCGTGACAATCTTACTCGAGAATCTACCCGATGTACGCAATATATGAAGGAGTGCCTACTCTTTGTTTCAAAAGTAGTAGCTCACGGGTGCTAAACTTGTGTGTAAACATTGTGAAATTTACTGTGACATTCATGACTCTGGGCCACACCTGACATCGTGACAATTTTCCCCACTGAAGCTGGATAAATTGGTTGTGAGTCTTTCCATTAACAGTTGTACTGTGCTACGAATAATTAAGGAATGCATTTGTTTACTACATTTTAATTACGTTTACGTGGAATTGACACCTAAAATATTTCATGAATTCGTAATTACTTAATACTTACTGAAATATTTGCTATTAAATATTTACAATTTAAAAACAAACAAAACTCCAGATTGTATGGTAGAAGGCTGGGGTTCGCTAGATCTGTTAGGTTGAAGAGGTTTTCTGATGGGCTTGAACATTGTATTATTGGTGAAATAATAAAAAACTTACATTCATGAGAGAGCCGAGAAGAACACGTGGCATCCACGGGAACAGGCTCACCACATTCCCTACAATAGATAAGTACGCAGCGTTTGAATTGCGAGTCAGCATACGAACGCCATCTCCTACAAAGGTTTTTTTTGTTATTCTACAATTATTATTTATTTTGGGTAGCCTTCCGATGTGCCCAAAATTATTGGACCGTCTCAAGTCCGGCTTTGACACATTTCACCGTATCAAAAAGTGACGTATCCCTTGTAATGCTCATTACAAAATGTATAATCCCGTTTTTTTTTTAAAGGGGTGACAGTACAACCAACGCTTGCCTGCAGTTTGGGACTACGCGACATTGCCACATCCCAGACGAGAACGGCTTCGCCATTTCAAACTACCACTGAACAAATACGTGTTTCGAAACGCTTTCCTTGTGTGTGTTTAAAACAAACTTTAACAGGACCTCACCATCTGCTCAAAAAATAAACATCGATAGTGTTAGTCGAGTTTTACAGGCAGCACGTGTTGCGTATGAGTGCGTCAACGTTTGAACCAGTGTTTTTTTTTAGAATGTTAAATATTTATGACTTGAAAAACAATAATTTATTACGCATGTTCACGCTTATACGTTTCCTGATATTGTACTTTCATGCTTGGCACCTGTGGAACTATGTTTTGCAATGAATGCAATAAAAGAGCATGCTTTCATGTTTCACATGCGGGCACGTGAAATGTCGTGTTCAAAGGTATCATTCTTAAATGCAAATACTGTGCACTCGTGAACCTACGACATCACACGCGTGTTACCTGAACTGAAAAGCAGCTGTCCTTGTTCTCATGATCCATGCCTACGATTGCTTTATTTACTTTCCACTGGAGATAATTACTAAATTAGTCTCTGAATGCTGAAACGTGAGTCTACGTAAGGCAGCTTACAACGCACGGGACCCACAAAGATACTGCAAGAAATGATCTAGGCAACGGGATACAGTTTTCGGATGCACTGCATTGTTTAACCAAATTGCGGGATATCACATTACACGGGGTGTGTGCGTGCGTGCTGTATGTGCCCTAAAGAATAACACGTTTCAACTGATAACGCGCGCACAGCGTTCGCTCGATCTCGTGGGGAGAGAACGAATGGGAGTCGCAGACGAACGGGGAAGACATCAGCTCGGTGAGCCACTGGCAACAATCGCCCAAGCTGTGTGTTCGTTGGACAATTATTGCTTGCTTAATTGTCCGATAACGTAAGGAACGCAAGTTCGTCTTGTGGGGGGGGGGGGGGGAGGAAAAATGTGGCAATGACCTACTTCCAAGATCTCCTTAACCACGCTAGAGACGCTGCAACGTACAAATGCATCCGGCAAAGATACATTCATTATCATAGAACGGGAGTAAAACCAATATTTTTCATTCTCTGTACAAGAATACCCCCGCCACCCACCAAAACGGCGAACCATATTTAATATGATGGGTTTTTGTTGTGTGCAGTCAGTAGTAACCAGGCCGCGACCATTAATTTGCCACACAAGAGGGCCCAGTTTTGAGATGACGGGTGGCTACCAAGATTCGACTCCAAGATATCAGCGGTGCCGGTTAAGTGTATCTGACCTCTGAGCCACCTGGCCACGTGTGCATTCATCTTGAGTGCGCCTTCCATCCATCACCCCCAGGTGGTGCGTGTGTGGTCATCGTGATGAATAATGCAGAGAGCACAAAACATTGTCTCCATTGATGCTCGCGCCCGTTCACTGGTCACAACGAAAGGTGGCTTGCGTCATGACGTGTTCATAAGCTTCGCAGTGCAGTGGTGGCACACGCACAAATGTAGAATCCAGCAATGTGGAGGTGGGGTTCGTGATTCACGCCGAGATACCGTTTCTGATATGCAGTACAGCAGGTAGGTTCCGGACCTATTGCCGATGTTGATGTCGAGTTTGATACCCCTCGTTTTCGTGTCTTCTCTAGGCACGCTTTGTGTTTATTTGTTTTCTTCTTAATCCACACGCGAAAGTGCTTCAAGAGGAAGTCGTCAAATATCACAAGCAGGACCCTCTTGCAAAATAGTCTTGAGGCTTCTTGCTAAAATAGCAATCGTTTTACTTTCTGAAGAAATATGCACACACGAACGTGTAAATCATGTTCAAAGACACGAAACCTAAACAGTTTGAAAGGAATCATATCATTAAGTCAGGAAACGACGTAACTTACACGGCCAATTACTTGAAACGAAGGGAATCTGTACATCATCGCCTTCTTCACCCCAGAATGTAAACAGCGGACACGTCACTGAGGGTCCACGCTTCCCACAGCAGTGCACTTATACGGTGTTGACGGTGCTGGCGGGAATCTCTCGTGCGTAGTTTTACCAAGAAGGCGACATTGATGTGCTCAATGTCCCTGTAGCTCTGGTAAAGTGGCCCAGAGGTGGCTTAGCATTAAACACATGACTCAGTTTCCTGGATTCACTCGTAATCATTTCCAAGGTGGCACAGACGTCAGAGCAAGTCGGTGGGCTGCTGGGAAGATTCCCGTGGAACGCATCGAGGCAGATGTTTGGACTTAAAGCGCGTTTTCAACTCTCAACGTGTGGCGATGTCATCATCTCAGCCCAGCCACCGATGAATGCGCACACACGCACGCACACACGAACAAAAAATACATCCCAATAAATGTGTTTCATTTTTACCATCTTGCTGTGAAAATCACTCTCAGTGGCGGAGTGGATGGAAGAACCAAGAATATAAAGGTTCGTTTGTCGGGATCAACTCCGTGGTGTCCACTCCCTTCGGCCGCTCTGACACATGAAGGGTTGCTCTGCTCTGCAAGCGATCCGAATGGACTTCACCACGTGACATGGCGCCGATACTACAATTGCAACAAAATTGGTGAGCAGCATGAAAGGTAAATACAAAATAACGCAGTTTAGTTGGATTGAGAGGTGGCCAGGAGAAGGTAGTACATACAGCAATTTGTTATTGAACCCATCTTCACACAGCGTTGAGTGTAACTCCCTCGTAGGTACGGTGTGTTTTCTTCACGTACACTCGCCAAACAATATGAATTTTAATCGGTGAACATCACAAAGCAGAACTCTCCCACCACCCTGAAAAAGAGCCCTGAGACTCCGTGAGACTTTCCTGGGTAAGTAAAGGACATTATTATTCCGTCTTAAAGAAAACGTGAGTCTGAACGCTTCTTTAGGGGTCTTGAGTCCGGAGGTCTTACATTAGGATTCTTACTTTGTTCCAATTTCATTTAGAGTTGTTCAATTATAATTGGCCTTGATACACAGCACCCGAGGCAACCGTGCATGCTCTTGGCCTTCCCCCGGCTCAGTAGCACCGAATGCAGTAGTGCATGTCATTAGCAAGTTAAGACTGATAACAACAACCGCCATTCGCCACTAAGTGGCGGTGACGTCCCCACGACGGCTGTGCCAGGCTAGGTGCATCTTGAGACCACGTGAAGTGTCGAACGCCCGCTGGCAAGAGGTCACGGGGCAGACCCAGGTGCCACGGGTCGACTGACTCAGACGACTGGCTGATGCACCACCTGTGCCCCCTACTGTGCCAACTTGCTGTGCTTTAGCTACCCGGTGCTCCACTCATTGTTGTGAGCATCGCTCCTCCACCCTCCGTTGTTGTTGGAGGGCGACTGCCTCCAACTGCCCAGTAGCGGCCTTCACGAGCCTCCTCCACAGAGGCCGCTGGTACCAGTCATCGGCAAGTCCACTCAGCTCCACTTCCTCTTGTACCACATCACTCCATCCCTTCTCTAGCCCGTGCCGCGCCCGTTTAGCCCCCTCGATCCGGCCGAACAAAAGCTGTTTAGGCATGCGGTGGCTGAGCATGCGGGCTGATGGTCATGGTGACACCACCACCCCCGCCACCACCCGCTTGTGGGTCATGTTGCCCTTCAGCATGAACACAAACATTGTACACTGCTCTTTGTCGATCCACCACCGGTGGATGACGAGGGCCTCTGTACGCTGCTCAAGTCGTGGAAGTTATTTGACCATACTTCACCACGCCGGTCATCGCCGGTTGGTTTCAGGCCGGGAGGCGTGGAAGACTTGGGAGCACAACAATGGAATGCGTGCACGATCTCCTGCTGGTTCCACCTTGCTGAGTGTACCAATCGCTGATGCAAATCAGATGAACGTAGCCATTGGCTCTCACATAACACACGGGGTACCAAATAATATAAAATAGCCGAGGCAATTACATAGTTTATTTCTGGGACACAATTTTTTCCAGGGGTGTACTCAACTCCGCGACTGGGGTACCAATCAATCCGACATCAGTGCCACTCCGTGAAGTCGAAACGCAGCGAGGACGATTGCGCTGAAACCCCGAACGCTCGCGGTACGCTCCGTAGTGGTGCATCTTAGTACACAGCTCGTCGAGATGAGTCGATTGCCGCATCGCCGACCATCAAAAGACTAAAAGTGACTGCGTCACGGACATGATGCGAGAGCCGGGGTGTCATCGCGACCCGGGGTTACTGCTATAAGGTTCATTTGCTGCCCTGTATAAGCTCGGGCTAATGGTGTGGGTGGTGATTATCCTATTTTTTTCAAAGCGCGTGGGTGGGATAGCCCGTTCGGTATAGGCTTCAACTCTTTTCGGGCAATAATACAGGAGGTGTGAAGATGTGCAAACACCAAATAGACACCTCGTACAAAAGCGTCGAGGCTGGCACGTAAAAAGGGTCTCATAGATAGCGCGTTCGGTAATGTGTGTGTGGGGGGGGGGGGGCATCTCGCTAGCAAAGGATAACGACGACGACAAACACGTGCACTGTGACCCGACGTGAAGCCACGTGGGGACCCGGCATCACAAAGCAACAGCGTGGAGCAAGTGCGCGTCATTGTGTAACAAAGACAAAGACCCTCCGCCCCACCCGGATAGCCTTTACAGAATGTTGGGGCAAGTGCTGTTAGCGAGTCGCACCTACGAAGGCCGGCACGGGACGCGAGGGGGTGGGTGGCCAGACACCACGCCCGACCGCCTTTGTCTCCCCAGTGGCGATGTTTACAATACCGCAGCAGGTACTCGTTTGAGGCTGAGTCGACCTAGGGGGGGGGGAGGCGCCTCAGATAATCGTCACCGGTGTTGGCCGTGAGCGGAAATCGAACTCGGGTCGCCGTGTTCGTAGCGCAGCGTGGCGCTAACCGCTGCGCCACCGCTCCTCGTGTCGTGTGGAGGCGAATGCACACGGACAAGTAAACCGAGATTTCAAAACCGGCCATGGTGCTTTTGGGGCTGCTTTGCGATTTTTCACTCCTTCCCCCCCGCCCC